TCATCTCCGGGCCTGTAATATCGTATAATTACCAAATGATTCATTTGTGCTGAGACGAGCCGAACATTAACATAACCAACCAAATTCAAATGGAAACTACAGCCTTGAAGGATTATCTTCAGAGACTCTGTGAACACAGATCATCTACAGAATTCTTCAGAGGTTGTCACGGTGCACATGCTGACGATGTATTGATCCGTGATGACGAGTATAATAACACAACCTTTACAACAGTCGAACGGGGTACTTCTAGGAGACACCCTCAGCCCGCTGCTGTTTGTAATAGCCACTGTGGACATAACAAAAGCAATACAGAATGAGAAAATGTCAAGCTCTATGCAGACAGCCAGCCTTCAACAATGTCACAGAATGGGCCAACAAGAACGAACTGCTTCCAAACAGAACAAAAACCGTCATGATGATGTTCAGAAAGGGAGGAAGATGAGCTATTACGGACAGAATTCTCTATGGGGAAGAACCTCTGGAACTCATAACTGAATTTAAGTATCTGGGGATCACCTTTCAAATGAATGGAAGAAACTTCACGAACCATGTCAGAGAAAGAGTAGCATCTGCAATAGTTGCTTCGCATGGAATAAAAAATCTCAGCTGATTATCAATGACGACTGCTATGAAGCGTTTCGACCTAAAAATTTTGCCAATCTTGACATACGGCATAGAAATTAATGCAACACACTAATATGACACGAGATTACTATAATGAAACAAAAATATACTTCTAGGCATCCAGCATATAACAGACCAAGATCATTAATTAATATAAAGTTAAAATAATCCTCCAATGAGTAAAATTAATTTACAACCCTTTGGTAGCTATCTTTGAGATAGGATTTTATCAATGCATTGGCCTTACCAACTGACCCATAAAATTCTACTTCAGGCAGGCAGGCAGGCAGACAGAGAGATAAGACAGATATTGACACAGTCAAAAGCTTTCTTCAACTCACAGAAAATGCCACCCACTAATATTTTATTATTCAGTACATTTAATATATCATTAATTAATTTGTGGGAGGCCATTTTTTAGATGAATTACTCCTAAAACCATTTTGTTCATTTTCTATTATGTTGGTACTCATTATATGCTGGTGCAGTCTTGCATATATATAACCTTTTCAACAACTTCTGAAAATGATGTCAGTAATGATATAGTTCTGTAGTTAGTCACATTAGTTTTATCTGTTTTTGAACAATGGTTTTTTTTCTGAATATTTCAACCAAGTGGGGAAGACATAAGTTGAAAGAGATCTGTTACAAATATGTAATAAGGAGCTAATGAAAGGCGTGCTGATTTTTAAAGCTGAATTTCATCATACCCACTACATTTTTTTTGGTTTTAAATACTTAATTATATTTTATTTGGTAGAGGTATGGTTCAGTTTAATTTTTGGAAAGGGAATCGTGAAAGCTCGAGACAGATAATTTGACTATTTGTCAGCATCTGACTCTATGTGGCCAACATTTGCATTACTGGAATTGATCTTGTCTGCTATTGTTCAAAAATTATTATTAAAAGAATCTGTAATCACATCATCATTATCAGTTAACTTCTCATCAATGTTTAAAAACTGTATACCTGCATTATTAATTTTTCTACCTCTCTCTGATTTTATAATGGTCCAGGTAGTTTTCATTTTGTTACTAGAATTAGAAATTAATTATAGTGAAGATTTTAGCTCCTTTAATAACACTGGCCAAAATTTTACATTATGTTTTATAATAATATTTTACATCTGACCCATACCGTGCTGAATCCCTGGGAAACTAGAAGAATTTGATTCCAGTGTGTTCACTGCATGACACGCACCCAGGAGCAAAACATTTTCTTATTCTTCCCATTTATCCTGCAAGAAAAAATACAAAAATTATAACACAATCACAGTACACTCAGAGTTTCTTGAGATTCTACGGTCCTTCTTTAGGCTAGACCGAAAGATGCTTAAAATACAGAAATACGAATTCGATGAAATATCGTAGCAACACTTTTTGACTTCATGTCTGTTTTTAATTTCAGTAGGCGTAGTAAGCATAATAATCCATATACAAAAATAACACACAGATTTAAATTCGTGCGTAAATGTCGGCCCCCGTTCTACAACATCAAATCAAAATCCCTACTTACTAATTAATCTAGTTAATTGCACGACATACCTCAAAGGCGCACACATAAACTTACAAAATACGCAGTATTACTGAGCCAACGCCCAAAAACTTCAACGGAAATTCAAAATCACAACCTTCTACCAAAGTGCTCACATGTACTCGGAGTATACTGGAGTTTTCGTAAACGCAGGAACGAGAAATTAGCAGAAAATGTTGCCGTAATACGACATAATGTCTTATCTACCTTTCTGCCATCTATGAACGAAAATTACCTTAGGTTCGACAAATAACACCTAACTATGTGCCGCAGACGTCGGCAGCGCAGTTGATAACTGTGTAACCTACTATATCGCTTTGTCCATGCACCCTACTATTACGGCTACAACATCAGTCCTAAACGTATTAATATTGTGGACTCCTTAATTTTGCATCGTGTAGCTGTGCATCTACGTTTCAGAGGTACGTATTGCCTCCATATAGAAGATAAAAACGGATGAAACAATATGTACACGGTGTCACATCTCAGGAGATGTCATTCTTCAATTGAAATCCACATTACTTTTCTGACGTATAAAAGTTTCTTCTTCAAAGCCTTTCGTACCGTCGTATAAATCTGCTTTATGAGAATAAAATGTGGCCAATTTTTCAATTGTGTCTGCGTATCTTTCAACATTTTAACTAATAATGAACAGATTCATAAATTATGATTAACATTAATGATTCTGGGCTTTCACGGTACTTACATGTTGAAGCTAATTTCGCTCTTGGGTGTTTGCACCCATGGGAAACGTTGCCCACGATTCGACCCTAAATGTGCAGGGCAGTATATACCTCTGAAATCAGCAATATTGCCCATTTCCGCACTACGTAAACACCGAAGAGCTGAATCAGAATGTCAGAACACGTCATCATGACGTATCCGAAAGTGCAGAATTCCATGGGAAAGTGCAAATATATATATATACGTTCATTCTTGAAAATGCATGGTACGAACCGGTGAAGAGGCTAGCTGTAATCTTAAGAAAACATCTGCACCTACCCATGTAATTTACCTATCTACTTGTATTTTGAGAGCACGCGGTAATGTAATTAGTTGAGGCATTATGCTACAAGTCGAAAGGTCGCGGGTTCGATTCCCGATGAGGTCATTGAATTTTTCAATTTATCTAATCCTTCCAGCTGCACTATGAACCTGAGTTCGACTCAACCTCTAACACAGAAATGAGTACCAGGAATCTTAGTGGGGGGTAAAGGGCGGCCGGCGCGTAAGGCTGAAAAACTCACAGCCATCTGTTGTCTATAAAATGTGGGAACCTCGATGTCTCACAAACCTATTGTCCTTCAGGGTCTGTTACAAGGATAGATTTATCTTTTTTTAATTGTATTCTGTCTGCTTACAAGAAGTATATTATACAAATTAATTAAAATATATTAAATAGTGTTTCTAATTGATCACATAGTTCATGTTTATGCCCACTGCCTCTGTTGTCCAATAAGTAAACTATTTCGACTTAATTCAGTAAATATTTAGAGCCGTGAAACTAGGTAAAGATATTACAAGTCCCGCAGACGCTAGAATTGTTTAAAAAAGTCTGCGCTTTGACTCTCTTCTCCAACCATCGCTTAGCAAACGTGGGAATGCAATATATATTGCGAGACTTATAAAGTAATTTTTAAATTTGTGAACACCAGTCAGGAGCAATTTTCGAAATATATGAATTGCAACGGTCATGAAGAAATCAAGGGCCAATTCCCCTCTACTCATAAATGTCTAGAATGTCACGAAAAGAATAATTTTATATTAAAAAAAATAGACGGGGTCCACTTAGCCTCATGATGATAATTGAGGAGCTACTTCAAGGAAATAGGGGCTCCGGTCTAGAAAACGGAAATTAACTGACTTGACGATCGTTGCGCTGACCACGCGACATCCTCTATCAGCTAAAGTTGGTACTAACTTCGCCGAGAAGCGACGGTCGCTCGGTCGGTATAATATTGGAGATGGGATAAAGAGATGGATCTTAATAGGTTGTGTGAGGGACGGAACCTACTCAGCATGATTATTATGATTTCCAAACTCGAGGCCCGGCTACCAGAACACTAATATCTTGATACTCGCTGTACATGAAGGGCCTATAAATGCATTGGTTAGGAGAGGAATAAGTGGTGGAGAACTGCAATATCGATTCATGTTTCTTTCCGTCTACTATAATTAAATTCCTATTCAAAGCCCTTAATTTCAGGATTACAACATATGTAGGAAGCACATTTACACTCGGCCTTTAAGTAATGCGCAAATTTTGTTGCGGCAAAGGAAGGGGACACGAAGTGGGAAAGGGGTAGTCGGAATGGGGGGAGGGGGCTGAAACAAACGATGCGGACTAGAATAGGAAGGGAGTAAAGGGACGAGTAGAGGGTAAGTAATTTCTAGAAGTTTTGAGAGAACAAACAGCTAGCAGTAAGCGACCCTCCATTACTTTGCACCAGAATTATCGCTATAATTTTCCCCCACTGCTGGCGCATGCATTCTAAAGCGATGCGAAATCAATATGATGCAAACTATTTAACAATGATAATAATAATGGACTCATAAATATTTAAGACTTTGCATTGTGAACTGTTTACATCACATAATATTCATATTCCATCATTCCGGTTCTATTTCTAGAAGTTGTTTCATTTCCCAAGTCTTATTGTTTTTTTATTTCCTTTCAGCGAACGTCTTCATGTCTTAAACGCTCTCCGGAAACCGTGAGATTATTTGTGTCAATTCAGGCGACACTACAGGGCGATTAGAAAATATTAATACAATTGCCAACTCACCCATGAACTAATGCAAGAATTTTATGTTGAAAGTAAACACTTTTCTAATTTAATTACACCTTCTGAAAGGTGCTGTGGAACTTCACAGCATTTTATGGAACCCCGAGGGTTCATTATCGTGTTCACAAAAGCCCTCCACTGTTCCTTATCCTCAGCCAGATCAATCCAATTCATACCATCCTATCCTATCTCTCTACGATCCTTGAACATTTTCATAAAAACTATAGTAAAGGTATCCCTGTAACAGGCCGTGGAGGCCCATAGGGTTGTGAGACGTTGAGGGTCTCACATTTTCTAGACAATCGGCTCAAAGATGGCGGCAAGGTTGTCAGCCTTACGCGCCGGCCGCGCTTTACTCCCCAGGAAAATTATTTAATTAATTCCTGGTACTCATTTCAGTTAGAGGCTGAGTAAGGAGCTTATTTTTACTGCGAGTTGTTGGCTCCACACCAAACACCAAATTCGGAGGACCACCCCTTTTCGGTTGTCCGCGACTGTTTATTCAATATATTCGCAGCTTACCCCATACTTGGAGGGCTTCTCCCCCATTCGCAAGAAGGGGTTCCTCATTATGGAGATTTCTCCCTTTAAAATCGCACACAAATTATCGAATTCCTTACAGAGACATATGAAATCAGTGTGCTGTTTTACCTAAACGTGAAACGTGTTAATTCACGTGGAATGAGAAAGAGGCGGAGGGAGGGCGGCGGCGGCGGAGTGCGATGACATTTACTTTGTCACATTCTACGAACAGACAGTCCTATAGATCGTTAGGTTCAACCCATGTCATGCCAGGCATGAAATACTTCGAATATTGTCGCTTCCCGAGGAATTCCTGTTTCACTTCCTTACAGTGCTAGTTCTCTGTGTAGGACAGAGTTATATGAACAGCACATGCTGGGACAGAACATCCCGTCTCAGTATGAGAAATATTTAGTGTTCACGATTGTCATAGCTAATACGTACATACATTTCTGAAACGGCGCGATATCAGATTATATTTTTATAAGATTTGTGGGGTTCCCTGCTGTGAAAGATTTATACGTGTATAGNCGATTATGTGAGAAATGAAGAAGTGTTAATTAGAGTCAGTGAGCAGAGGAATATCCTACACGAAATAAGAAAACGGAAGGCTAATTGGATTGGTCATGTTTTACGCAGAAACTGCCTTCTGAAAGAAGTTATCGAAGGAAAGATAGATGGGCGGATAGAAGTGACAAGAAGACGAGGAAGAAGACGTAAGAAGATGCTGGATGACCTTGGGGACAGAAGAGGATATTTTCATTTGAAGGAGAAAGCTCTAGATCGCATTAAATGGAGGAATTGTTTTGGAAGAGACTGTGGACCTGTCGTCTTGACAGATTACTGATGATGATGAGTTATATTCTGTATTACTTTTATTTATTTGTAGTGTAATTAACAACACTGGCTGTAACTCAGACTGCACAGGGTCGGCGAATTGGATGACAGTGAACTAATTTTAAATTACGGAGTATTGAGTTGTTGTGGCCATTTAAGGCACTGTCCTGGCAATTTACTAAAGTAACTGAGGAAAACTAGGAAGAACCTTAATTATTATATTCGATTTCTGGGCCGAGATTGGAACCAGGAGCGCTTCTAGTATGAGCAACAATTGATACCGCTTGAGTTAACTTCCGCAGATTCTAGATCACGTCATCACGTAATCTGGATACCGACGTTTCGGAGAAACATACTGAGTACATATTCAGAATATACCCTGGGTTGATATCATTGTGTCATAATACACTAAATTATATTAAGGGATTATACTATTCAAACTGACTTTCAGCTACAATAAGAGATGTTAACAGGACTAATATCAGAAGAATATATTGGTTGCAGTACCTCATAGGGGCAGATTCATGGAGAAGGATATTATTAAAATTGGCTCAGCCTACATTTTGAGCACATATGAGGGAGATGAAAATGTACGAAAATTTTGTAGGTGGATACCAATATTTCGGATGAATATTCTTCCTCTGTCTTCAGAGGTTAATTGATTAAGGTGAGGATTCGGCGTGTTCCTCCAAAATGATGACATCCACCTACAAGACGTCACGGCTTCACAACCAAGAAGACCAGAATGTGAACATTCACAGCTGTGATAACTGGAAATTTCGTGTACAAAATGTTTGTAAAAAAATTCAGGGAAGAAACCATTTGGAAAACCTAGGAGAAGAGAAAAGGATAGTTAATATGTCGATTGGATTCAGCTAGCTCAAGAGATGATACAGCAGCCGAACAGAATGTCAACTTTTGAGGAAGGAATATGAGATCCCGAGGATGTGAATTACACCGAACTATCGTGGAATATAGTCCTCAGGCAGGTTTCTATGGTAACAACATCGG